TTGGAACTGGATGAGCTTGAAGGTCCCTTCCAACCCAAACCATTCTGTGATTCTATGAATCAAGGTCAGGTTGGATGGGGATCTGAGCAACCTGATCTGGTTGAAGATGTCCCTGCTCACTGCAAGGGTGTTGGACGAGATGACTTTGAAAGGTTCCTTTCAACCCAAACCATCCCATGATTCTAAAGGAGGTTGCACCTTGATGGAGGGTAGCTCCTTCTTAGTGCCCTTGCAAAGCCTCAGGGATGTCTCACAGCAGTAGATATTTGACCTTTTCCAGGGTCAGATTTAAGGGAGAGAAACAATCTGCAAGTACATTCATCCCTTCAACCCTCATCTCCCCCTCTCCAGGTGTCCTGGACTTCTGGGGGGAGATGGGTTTGGCAGAGAGAAGGAGACTTGGTGGGATGCAGCGTGGGGAGGGTGATGGGGTTGGTGTTCCACCATGGCATGAACTGATGTGTCCTCCACATCTCTGCTCCCACACAGTCTGCAGACTCTGACCTGCCATACCCCCCACCCCAGAGGGAGCCCAACATTTACATGGTCCCTCAAGGAATCAAACCAGTTCTGCAGCGCACGGCCATTGAGGTGAGTGATGGGGAGCACATGAGGCAGGTTGACCTCTCACTGGAGGACAACCTCCTTCAATGTGTCTCCTTCATGGTGGGGATGAGACCTAGAAATGGAATCCAAGCCAGGATCTGGGGACACAGAGTCCTACCAGTGCTGGGAGCTGATTCTACCCATGGGTCATCAGACAAAGAATGTTGTCTTGTTGGGAAAACTTGTCCCACCATGTAGTCAAGTCCTCGGGCAGAGCACAGCCCTGGACCACACTTGGTTTGTAGAAGGACAATCTGCCTCATACTGGGATATTTGCTCAAATCAGAGAAGCTCCATTGATACATAAGCAGTTGTGGACCTGGTGTATTAGTGCAAATGGAGAAATACTTGTTGTACCATCTGGTTTCTCCCAACACCAGCTGTTCTACATAGTTGATTCAGCTCTCCTTCATGGTGGGCCAACCTTCAGGTTTACCTCCATTGCTGAGAGAGACCTGGAGATAGACCTTTGGCTCAGTCTTTGCTGTCTCTTTCCCGCACCCTTCAGATCCTTGCTTGGGGCCTGAGGAACCTCAAGAGTTACCAACTGGCCAGTGTCACCTCACCCAGTCTGCTGGTGGAATGTGGAGGTCAGCTTGTGCAATCCTGTGTAATCAAGAACGTCAAGAAGAACCCCAACTTTGATGTCTGCGTGCTCTTCATGGAAGTGGTGAGGACCTGATCCCCACCCTGCAGTGATGGAGGTCATAGAAAAGCTGGTGGGGAAGGACCTCCAGAGGTCCCATAGAAGATGTGTCCTATGGTGGAGCTAATTCTGTGCTGCTCAGCCTGGGTTCACTTTGGGGAGGTGCAGAGGAGCTGACCCCCATAGTTACGTGGTCTCTCCCCTCTGCCCACAGCGTTTACCCAAGGAGAGCCTGTACAGCCCCCCCATCATCGTCAAGATCATCGACAACAGGCCGTTTGGCCGAAGGCCCGTGGTGGGACAGTGCACCATCCGCTCCTTGGAGGACTTCTACTGTGATCCCTACCGAGAAGAGACAGATGGTCCCCAGGAGCACTCAGGTACGTGTTACCATGAGGACCATAGAATCAATTAGGTTGGAAAAGTTCTTTAATATCATGGAATCCAACCATAAACCTAAGATGGCCGAGTCCACCATGAAACCATGTCCCTCAGCACCACATCTACCCATCTTTCAAATCCCTCCAGGGATGGGGACTCCACCACCTCCCTGGGCAACCCCTTCCAATACTTGACAACCCTTTTAGCGAAGAAATTTTTCCTCAGATCCAATCTAAACCTCTCCTGGTGCATCTTGAGGCCATTTCCTCTTGTCCTTGACCATGCCCTTGACCATGCCCTTGACCATGCTGGCTACACACCCATCTCCAGAAGGAGCTGTAGGTCACTGGATGTGTTGCTTTGAGCTCACCCCAGATGTAGGTCTGATACCAAAAGCCCAGGAGGTGACAAGGAGGAGTTTAGTTCTGAGGTAGGTTGGTGAGATGAGTTGTCCCTTGGCCAGACACCAAGCTATTCAACCTGCACGGACATGAGCTTTGGCTGGTGTGAAGGTTCTGGGCAAGGTTGAGATCATTCCTGGAGGTTGATCCCAGGGTGTCTCAGGGTTTCTAAGAGCTGGATGTCCTCATCATGCTCGTGCTTGCTCTGATTGCAGATGATGTGAGCCTCACGCCCAGGGATGACGTCCTGATTGACATCGATGACAAGGAGCCACTTATTCCTGTCCAGGTATGGAAAAAATTGCGGTGGTGAGAAGACGCTGGTTTCTTATCTTGTGTGACGTGGGGGAACTTCTGCACCTACAGTTGGGGTTAGAAGGCAGATGTGAGGTCATGGCTGTTTGTAACCTTCCACTTGCAGCTTTCATCTCTGTTTTCATCCCATCTCCTCCACCTTGTCACAACAACTCAACCACCAAGTCATCCTTCTCCCCAACATTTAATATGAGGTGTCAGATTTGCTGTCCTGGTGGAGACACCATGGACTTTCTCCATGCCAGGCTCTTCTTTCTCCATGCCAATGTCTCTTCCTCAAATGTATGGTTTGGTTGGAGGCTGAAGAAGATTTGCACTCAGCCCCTTAGGGTTCTGCAGCATGGGATGCTCTCTTGGAAATGACAGTCACTGCCCCAAGGAGATGACAGCCTTGATGGGACTTCCCCCAGCACAGATGCTGGCAGATGGGACAGTTTGCCCAAGGTCATGCTGGAAGCAAAGGTTCACTGAGGCTCAGTTGTCCATCCCACAACCCCATGGCCAGGTCTTCCTTCCTCAGTTTCCCTCTTTGCAGGATTCTTTGGTGCTTCCAACTCCACTTGCTACATTCAGCAGCTCCAGTTACTCCGCAGAGGGTCATGGTGGACATTGTGATTGCACCATATCTCATGGTGGTGGGAACTGGACATGCTTTAGCAAGGAAGGAGGAACGTGTTGTTGGTGTTGCAGATACCAAGCTTCTCTGTGCCATGAGTTTGGGAGGTCTCAACTGTCCCTTGTAGATGGATCATCCACCAAGGTTGCTGTTCCTCCTTCCTGAAGCAGAAGCTGGAAGGTGTTTGGCCACGCTGGTGGTACTTGCCTTGTTGATGCTTTGGGTTTCTTTGCCAGCTTTTGGGTTTCTTTGCCAGCTTTTGGGTTTCTTTACCAGCTTTTGGGTCTCTTGGCCAGCAGACGTGTCCTCTTTGAGGCAGTGTTGACGTGTGTGTGTGATGCACAAATCTGTAGGTGGCTCTGATTGCTCAGGAGCACCTGAAAGTGTTGTCAGAGGCATTTGGTGGAGCTTCTCATGGTCATCTTGTTCTTCTCTGGTGTATTTAAGGTGCGTTGGTGTTTCCTTCCTGCCTCTTTTGAAAGCTGTGGGTGCTGTGTGGTGGTTTTGGTAGAAAAGCCTGAGATATCTCTACGAGGTCTCCTTCTTATCTTGCTTTTCACTGCCCACAAAAGCCAGATGTATAATTTGGGTATCAATGCTTCTGCTCTTTGGTGGTACCTCCTTGGTGGCACCTCAGTCTTTATTCATGATGACTACGATCTGTGGTTGTGTCCCCAAATGGGCTCAGACTGGGGTCCCAGCATCAGGCTGTCTCCTGGAGATTCAGAGCTGGAGCTGGACCTCTCTCCTCGCTACATCCCTCCATGCTAGGTCATCTGCTTTAGGTTGGTGTCTTGCAAGTCCTCCCTGCATCTGAGCAGGCTTTGCTTCAGCTGGAGTGCACGTTGCCTGCTCCAACCTCTGCGCAGCTCAAGATTTTGGCCAGTAAAAGCTGAGGGTGTGGGACTCCAACCTGTTGTAGCTCAACTGCAGCTGGCCCTGCTCATGTCTACCTATCTCAGGGAGACCTTCTAGTGGCCTCCCAGTACCTGAAGGGGCTCCAGGAAGGCTGGGGAGGGACTTTGGCCAAGGGCAGGGAGTGAGAGAACAAGGGGTGATGGCTTGAAAGTGTCAGAGGGGAGATGGAGCTGAGATGTGAGGAAGAAATTGTTTGGTGTGAGGGTGGTGAGCCAGTGTCCCAGGTTGGGCAGAGAAGCTGTGGCTGCTCCTCCCTGGAAGTGTTTGTGGCCAGGTTGGATGAGGCTTTGAGCAACCTGGTCTAGTGGAAGGTGTCCCTGCTGCTGTCAGGGGGGGGGTTGGAACTGATGACCTTGAAAGGTCCCTTCAAGCCAAACCAGTTTGTGACTGATATTTTGAGGGCTGGGATCATGCATGAACGTGCTGCCTGGTGGTGGAGACCAGATGGACTTTGCTCCAACAGACCCCCAACAGAAGGTTTTTCTGGCCCCTCTCCTGACCCACAACCACAGATGGGGCAACGATAGGTGGACTGGCTTTGGAGCTGCAACTTCAGCAAGCTGTGAAGACATCATTTCTTATCTTTTAATAGAGAAATCCACCCAGCTTTCAGTTTGGTTTGACTAAATT